TGCCAAAGCTTCAGGTACTACTTTTGTAGCACCTCACTCGTTCAGATAATCAAGACTAGTGAAACCGATCATCCAGAAAGTACCAGGTAAAGTTGAAAACCTCTTCTTTTCCTTATCTTGTACTTTGTCAACTCCTTCCCACATACTGATCCTAAAGACTCGTGTAGGTCTCGCCTGCTCCGACACTACGTCTGCATTGCCACAGTCTAGCATTGAAATGGTGCAGGCAATACCAGGTGGACAGGATACTACACCTGCATCCATTGAAAGCCTGTGCATAAAACACGGCAAAACAAAAAGGAAATGCTCAAGACGTCATAGGACCTCTAAAGTGTCGTCAGGGAAGGGAGACAAATATCAGGCCTGTTGTGTTATCGTTTCTAAAACTGACTCAGCATTTGAATGCAATTTTTGCAAACAATGGGAACACTGCCGCTGTGACAAAGGGGGGCCGAAATCATACTGTGAGTTTATGCGAAATAACGGATGCCCACTTTGTCGCCCTGGCATAGTCCCATATAGCGTGTCTGCGGATAGCAGAAACAGTACGCCAGTCTTGTGTCTCAACTCAGTTTTATGTAGCCCCTCGCCTGCTAACATCACACAACAGAAACTTGGTACAAACAGTAAGAAGGACACTCCAGTCCAACTGACTGGAAATTCCAATCTTCACAAAGGGACGTTTCAAAAGGGAAGATAAAATTGGAAAAGCACCACTTGCATCCACAAGCAAGCTTGGCAACACAACAAAGGCTGACCAGAACCTGATGAAGCCTAAAGTTGCTGACGCTGCAAAGGAATACAAGAAGCCAAAGGCCAAACCTAAGTCTGAGGTTAATCGGTCAAATTCTCTTATGCTCTTTAACGTACCTGTGAGCAAGGATAGCCTGCTTGAACTGCGGGCCCCGTTTGATCAGGAACAGTGGTCCAACCTGTGCGATAAATTAGGTCTGAACATTAGTTAAGTGAAATTTTGCAGGCTGTACAGGGGTGTCCACATGCCTTAGGGTAAGCCACCCCTATTAAGGGTTACACTGGACTCTTCCGAAGAGACCGAAAAAGTACTATTGATGGCTCAGGTACTAGCCATCGACAGAAGTTCGAACGTAAGGGTGAGACAAGACAGACCATGGGCTATCAGACAAATGGCGAGGGAATCACCGGAACTTCTGCCTTCTACCTCTATGGTGGTACGCGGTGTTCGGGAGCTGGAAACCGCCACTGCTTGTAAAAACGTGCATAACTTACTGCACTGGAGATGGCTGTCATCTCAGATGGCCGTTGGCGCCTCTGCAGCAATCTCCCTTCTACGACTTCCTCAACCCGTTAATCTCACACTGATATAATTTTCCAATGCTGCTAAGTGTCACACTCAACTCCCCGGAGCAGTTGGCCATAGCACTTCAACGCTGGTATGAGATCAAGGGAAAAATGGGAGGACACATCCGATGCTGCGAAAGCAGACCTCGAACCATAAGGAAGCAGCAAACTGAGGCTTTGCTATGTTCTCAAGCCTCGGTGACACTAGAGCAATGCGGTACTGAAAATTACAGTCTGTGTCACCTAAGTGTCTTGCCTAAATCCATGGAAAAACCACAAAGGGCCGGTTCCTCCGGAATCGGCCAACTAGTCCCAACATTAAGTCCCCTACCAGCAGACAGCTTCACGTCAGCTACCCCACAACACGCTGAGGTTGTAAGACTCACTGTCAGCTGCCTATATAGCAATGTGAGGGGGCTGAGAGGAAAAATAGGTGAACTCCGAAATCTCCAATCACACTTACGACTGAAAATGATCATTCTCACCAATACATGGCTAACCCCCACTATCGCCGACAACGAAACTAGGAGAGACAGGGATAATAAGGAAGGAGGGGGGTAGCTATATACTTTAACAGGCAACTTAAATGTGTGCGCGCAACGGACCCACCACTTATTGAACTTCCAGACTCCATATGGTGTCACTTCACCGTAGGCCACACCGAGCATTTACTTGGTGGCATCTACCGATCTCCTACCTATGGGGCAGTGCACAACCAGCTACCGCTCAACACCACCACAGGGATACGAGACTTGGGCTATGACCAAATCACAATTGCTGGAGATTTCTATGCCCAACACTGAACCCTGGCTCCAGGTATGCTAATCGAAATTTCGGCCGAAATCAACTGCAAACTATTCGAAATACAGGACTGACTGAGTATGTTGGAGACGACACTAGGTGTGGCTCTGGTGGAAAGTCATCAAAACTAGACTACATTCTTACTAGTGACCAACTACTCGTCGAAAAGTTCCAGATCATGACTCCTCTAGGAAGTAGTCGCCATGCAGTCATAGGTTTCGATCTTGTTCTCCAAGAGCACTTGCAGTGGGACGTTACGCGGCCATGTCTGTGCCATAACAAGGCGGACTATGCTGAAATGCGGAGGCTTTTGTCCGACGCAGACTGGCCCTTAGCATGGGATGAGTTATTCATGGATGAACACAGGGAAGTGTTGAAAAAGTTTATTCGTACAGCAACGTCAGAAACCGTCTCTTTGGCCACAACACAGTCCAAAAGAAAGTCATCATGGTTAAAGAGAGGCACGCAACGCATTGTGCAAGCAAAGCGGAAGGCTCGGTTTACGTGGCGCGTATCCAAGATTCAGACTGACCACGATGCATACCTGGAACTGAGGAACCGGTGCAATGCAAGAGTCAGGAGGGACAGGAGGTCATTCCAGGTTAACCTTGCTAAAAAACTCCCAGCAAACCCCATAAACTTGTACCGATTCATGTCGGCAAGAAAACCAACCAGCCAGCGGGCATGAGCCTTAGTAGGTCCAAACGGTCAATATCTCACTAGTCTGGAGATGGCTGAAACATTCAGTTTAGCCTTCGCCAAACATTTTAACAGTAATGTCAGTACTACCTTTACGGACCAAAATGGTGGCACTAATATTTCACAGCAGGAAGACCTAATGGCTACTCCGCAAATAAACTCGGCAATAGTACTAAGAAAGTTACAGCAACTGACACCTGGGAAGTCCCCAGGTTGTGACGACATCAGGCCATCTGTTCTGAAACAGTATGCCGAAGCTCTTTGTAGGCCCTTAGGCGACTTGTTCCAACACTCCATGGAATCGGGGAAACTGCCAAGGGAGTGGAAAAGAAGCATCCTTTCTCTGCAAGCGTAGGATAGGCAAAATGCCGCTAGTTATAGACCAGTAGCTCTACTCCCAGTGGTATCAAAAGTACCGGAAAGTGTTATTGACGATCACATCAGGGATTACCTCGATAGGTCTAAAATACTCCACAAAGCCCAACACGTTTTTAGGAAAAGCAGATCCTGTGTAACAATCCTACTATCAGCTTGGGACGATTGGACATCGTGCTGGGATATGAATGTTCCAGTCCATGTGGTCTTCTTAACTTTGAGAAGGCATTTGACACAGCTCACCATGACCTTCTCCTACACAAAATAAGTCAGGAAGATATAGGTAGGCCACTTATGTCATGGTTAAAGGACTACCTAACTGAAAGGCAATTTTGCACTAAGGTCAATCGACTTCGATCATCTTGGCACAACTCGTCATCAGGAGTGTCACAGGGTTCTGTTCAAGGACTATTAATGTTTTTGATTTTTATCAATAATCTACCATGCCGTCTAAGCTGCCCGAATTTTCTTTACGCTGACGACGTAAAGATATGGAGGGCGACAAAGTGTCCGGAGGACTCAGATAGACTGCAGGAAGATCTAAGGCTTCTGGAAGACTGGGCGGTAGCCAGTGGCATGACTTTCAACCTGAAAAAGTGCAAAGTAATGAAGCTACGCAGCTGTAGACTGCAGAATGCAAGTTACGCCCTTTGCAAAGAAAGCTTGTCCTGCACAACGTTGAAGCGTGATGTAAGTCTAGTTCTAATGGAAAAAATGCACACACGCATAAATTACATGGGGGATGTAACGAGGGTATATGTGGTCATAGATGGTAACGTACACTCACTCTTGGGCTCTTTCTCAGGTTTTACAAAATATACGATAGACCACACCTTGAAGTGCATTATATCATTGCACCCCCACTGCTTGGCAGAGATTTAAACCTCTTGCAAAGAGTCCAAAGTTGGGTGACAAAAGAAGTGGTTGGTCTACGAATTAAACCATATGATGAAAGGCTGAAGAAATTAGGCATATTCACACTTAGTTACCGTCGTCTTAGGGGGGATTTAATTTCCGCCTACAAAATAACAAATGATCAGAATCACCCAAACAAAGGTGTTCTGACATTGAGTAGGTATAGGCTCCCTCGTGGAAATCTCAGAAGGATAGCTCATCAGAGAGCAAGGACCCAGGTGCGCTCCCACTTCTTTTCACTGCGGGTTTGCCATCCCTGGAACTCCTTACCGGCAGATATAGTAATGGCATCGTCTGTGGATGCCTTTAAGCGAATTCTGGACAATCATGCAGTGACACGAGGACTGCATCCAAATGGCCTATGCCCTTAAAATCCCATGCACCATTCAGGGGTAGACAACTAAGTTCATCGTTTTACTTCTTTACATTCTCTCCCGTCTTACTCTCCTGGTAACTTCAACTACACTTACTATTATTACCGACATATATATATATATCAACTTCAAATTTAATCAACTAGCTGCTGTTACATTTTCTTTATTTCTGTCTGTTAGTCTGAATAACTTCACTAATTATATCTATCATTATTATTATTATCTCTTTTCTTTTGACGATGATACCGGAGGACTAACTGATGAAAGGATCAACTCCATTCACAGTAGTAACAGTCTTAACACATCTCATACTACAAACCACATATAATTAATCTCAGCACTACTCCTTTTGGACTCAACCAAAGCTACGACAGTCGAGTGGCCGGACGAGCTACGCAGAAGTTTACCGAAGATCAGGAACCTATACCTCACAATCAAGAGGCGAGCACAAAGAAATCAAATTAGTTTATACTAGCTCGTAAGAACGATATTGGATATTGGAACATTTCGTGACTTGTAGAGGGTACTTAAATTGATGTTTCATTTTCGCGAATCGTATTAGGATATGATACTTCCGACGAACAGAAATTAAGCAAAATCTCAGAAGACTTCATCTTAAAATGAATCCTTCACAAAATGGTTCTCCTGCACTTGATGTTAAGAGAATTGAATCTGCACGAGCTAACAGACAACTCCAACTTGAGAATTGGAGGGATTATGAACGACAAATAGAGGCTTCTGAAAAATACACTAAAAAGCTAACAGTGCGAAACCCACTTGAAAGAAATGTTAAGTTCACTGACAATTGTGTGCTATTAGATGCTACACTTCGAGGGGATTGTGAAGAGGGTACGTATTTGCATCGTAGTTATTTTACATGGAATGTTTTTAAACTTATATACCCTTAATGATTGTGCTTTTGTTTCTACTACTCTGAAATTAGGTTTTGATGAGCAGTTCATTTCTAGTAAAATAGAGACTTTATTTTATCAAAACTAAGTCACAGCCATGACTAATAAATGAATCCGAAATAGTCCTAGTAAGCGTTTACAGTGTGCCTTTTTGTATTGAAATCAGAGAAATTCTCGGTTATGAGAATCCTAATTCTGTATTACGACTAGAGTCTTTTGTTGTCTATGGACAAGAATATGATTATATATAATCAATTGTTTCGTAACTAAACAGAATCCAAACTATTTGAGTAATTCATGAGTTATTCTATTATTCGTCGACTTACGGTGTTATAATAGGTAATATATTTTTATTTTTACTGTTGTTATTTCTCTGTGGGTCACGCTTCTTCGTTTCACCAATATTTCTATCTATTTCTTCATCTGTTTGCTTTGACTATTTGCATGGATTATCGTGTTGCCTTGTGACGTCGTACGTTTGTGGTAGAGAATCTTGTGTTTGATTTCTTGATAGAAACCCTTTTTGTTTGAATGCTTAACCTATGCTGTATAATTTAGTAACAGATATATTCATTTGTTAAGGTTTTTCCAAGCAGATTTCTTATGATAAAACAAAAAGTCACTGGCAGCCATGAAAGTAACTGTGGATTGTATGTACATCAAAACTGTAGTTCAAAATTTTCACTAAAATGTAGACGATACACTGTACTGGAATATTTTTCATGCGTATTTCGTTTGATTTTCGTTCTTTGGATATGCATCATATGAAAATCTGTTGATGTATTTCGACGATTGTATTAATATTTTTTTACATAAAAAATGATTTTCATGCAGATAAAAAGGTACAGCAATAAAATTATCACACTATTTTCCATGTTTATAGCACTAGAATACATATGTTGAAATCAGACTTCTAGTCAAATTTTATGGTGTTCTCATCTATATTGCATAAGGAAAATTTTCAGGGTTTATTCGTTTCTGATTTAGTTTAAGATACTGGCATTTTGTCAAATGTGGAATTTACTTAGTCCTATCCATTGTCTTAATCCTTACGAAGAAAGAAGTTGGCTTAATAATGAAATAATAGTAGAATAATTCGCTCCTGCTGAAATCTGAAAACTTAACAGCTTTTCACTGTTTAAAAACGCAGGTTGCTTTCCGATTTTATGGGTATTCCTCATAGCTATTCCTCATCAGCTTCAGTATTTGAAATTAACCAAGTATGCGTAAAATAGCAGATGTAAAAACCCTTTGAGCTGTGGTGTTCATAATCGCAGCAGCATCACCTTTTAAAAAGCAATATAACCTATATTGATCACAGTGAAAAAATTGATTATTTGTCCTGCCTAACTTGTAAATACTGTGGGTATTATTCTGATCCTGTCTCCTGGGTACGCATTGCACCTTCTATATGTGCGTCGGTGGCACAGTGGTTAGCACTCTCGCCGACCATGCACATGGCCCGGGGTTCGATCCCCTACCGGCGCACACCCGATATCTATGGTCGGCCTGAATTTGGGCTACCGATATCCATGCTGAAAATTCCATACTTGTACTGAAAATACGGTGTGGAATCAAGCTGTAAATCAAAATCAAAATCAAATAAAAAATAAAAATAAATATATTTTATTGATCACTCGAAGCTATAAAAAGAAGAATCAGCTTTGAAAACAAGTGTTATTCGTGTGTCTTCTATCAACAAGTGTTTAATGAAATATTATTTATCAGATGAGCGTTGCTGGCACAATGATAGAATGCTCACCAACTACGCCTGTTGTCCACAGTTCGACCCCCAGTCGATGCACTGTCAAAAATCGCCACGCCCATGATAAGACTGCTAAGGAAGGAAAGATGAATGCGAGGCCATAAAACCCACCCTGTGAATCCCAGTGGGTGCGTACTGCCGATGATTCCCAAACTAGGATGAAACAGCAGCTGTCCAGTACTCCCTGGTTTTCAATGGTTCTCTAACTGATATCAGTACGTGATCAACTCGGGAAAATAATATGATTGCTGCCGAAAACTAAGAGCTCCAAAATGAAGCCCTAAGTTCCATTCGAGACGAAAAGGAATAAAATAAAAATACAGATGTGTAAAACCTGGGCACTGTGGTAGTAAGTCATCCCATATTAGTTTGTTTATTAGATGTATAACACAGTGAAACAGTATTATTTACTGGATGACGTTCCGAACAGAATTTATTGTTCATAATCATATCAATTATAATCACACGACTTCGAAACTTGAGTTTTATAGTTTTCTTTGTTCTCTCCTATTTGTCGTAGGGGTAGTAGAATTTTCCAGATATCTGGGACAGGTGTTGAATAATTCCTATTACACATGTTTACAGTTGATTCGATAAACAAAGCCTCCGTTATCAATCTCTCCCTCCACCCTGTTACATTAGATTTTAAAACTATCATCTTATCCCATCCTATTGTATGGTTGTGTGTAACTGCATGTAGTGCTATAGCTGAACTATTCTCTAGATTTCTTATCTTATTTGAGTCAACTAATCTAGATTTTCCTGCTAGGTTTTTATGCTCGGCTAGTCTGAATGCCCCTGTTCTACTACTTTGACCTATATATTTGACCTGACAATCATTGCAGGGTGTTAGATAAGCTAAATTGTTTTGTTTTAAAGGCTCTATAGTATCCTTCAACCGACAAAGTTAGTTTCTAATTGCGTTTGTAGGTTTGAATGACACTTTTATTCCTGCCTTGTTAAGAATTCTGCGTAAGGTTTCCAAGATTCCTTCCTTGTTTGGAATTACTACTGATGATTTAGATTGCTTATTGTTGGTGTTGTCATTATCTTGCGCATGTTTGACATGCATGTCTTCATTAATATCACTATTATTACTATTATTGTTATCACTATCACTACTATCATTATTTATTTTATATTTCCCTACATACCCTCTGACTGACTTATCAGGGTCACTATTAATTTTCAAAGCTCTTACATGCCTCACTTCCTGTCTTAGATTTTCTTTGGCAGTACTTAGTTTTTGTGCTCTGTCAATGACATAGGATGGGATGATTGGAAGTCCAAATATCTGTTTGAATGTGTGGGTTTCCTGTAAACACTAGTGTTTAACTTCTCATCTTTTTTACGCTACAACCTAACATTGGGAGCTCCCCTTCCTGACTTTCCAATTCATAACTGAATTGAATTGCCTCCACCATTGAGTTTATGTGGTCGAAAAATCTATCCATATCCAGTCTCTGTCTGTCTCGATTCAACATAGAACTTGGCACCGAAGTGCAGCAGTTCCATTTGCCACGTTCCAAATAGCACACAAAGGTAGACAAGAAAATGAGTGAAGAGAATCAATAGAGTTTTGACAAGTATAAGAGTGAAACAGAATGAGTAATAGTAGAAAGGAATATGAAAGATTAGAGAGACTGAATACATCTGCGCCATTGACAACGATTTTGAGCCATGTCACCTAGTGTCTCCAGCCATTGATTCTTAGAGTCCCGAGAGCCCCAACCCGGAAGTCTGCATCTCCCTACCTGACTCAGTTTAACTGTCAAGGATTTCATGAATTGATGCCATGTTTTTGTTTGGCCACCACTTACTCTTTTCCAACCTGCACCTATATCAGCTAGTAATGCCCGTCGGGGGAGGCGATGGTTAGGCATGCGCAGCACGTGACCTAACCATCTCAATCTATGTAACTTTATAGCTTCTTCGATTGACTTTCCCTCCTTGCACAACACTCTACGCTTAACGTCAACATTACTTACCTTATTATACCACGTAACGTGGGAAATAGATCGTAGATATCTATGATCAAAAACAGTCAACTTTTTCATGTGTTCAACTCGTATTGGCCATGTTTCAGAGCCATAGAGAAGGACGGAGCGAACTGCTGAGCAGTACACACGTCCCTTGGTTGATAGCCGGATGTTACGTCTACGCCAGAGATGGTGTAAGTTAGCGAAAGCAGCTCGAGCTTTTTGGATTCGTGCTGAGATTTCGTCACCAATCAATCCGTTGGTGCTGATACAACTTCCCAAATAGATGAAGTGGTCAACATGTTCTATCACTTCACTCCTTATCCCTAAGCTAGGAGTTGACGTAGTCCAGTCCTGTAGCAGCATTTACAGGGACGAATTGCATGCCAAACATACGAAGATTGCTGCTCAAGGTGTTTTAGAGAGGTTTCGCGTGCGTTTTGGATTGTGAGGGCGATTGTTACTTCCCGGCTGCCCAAACCGTGGAAGTTGGTTGCGCGACCGCAGAGCCCAGGGGACAACTGCTTGAGGCCGGTCACACACGGCCTGTTTTAGTTTGGTGTGTCTCAGTAGCATATTTATCACTTCTGCCCTGTGACATGGTGGCAGTAAGCGCGGTCGTTGTTAATCCGGGCCCCGACCGATCCGGCATGATATTTTGTGATTTTGTTTGGGTCATAGCATTGGATTGGGTAACTGCTTTTTGTCTAACAGCTATCCAAACAACCTTTCCGGCATGGTAGGACCTCAAGCGACATAAGTCTCAGCCAGTGTAGCTTGTTGGGTCATTGCGGTGTTCAAGCCCGACCACCACGTCAAGGTAGCATCTTTCGGTCGGATTCCTGTGTTCTAAGTACAGTGAATGTGTCATCTAAATACCTCCATCATACTTTTGGGCTGGGGCTGAACGTTTCAATCGCTATGCTTTCCCACCTCTCCATGAATATATCTGCCACAACCGGGGATATTGGTGACCCCATGGCAACTCCCTCAGTTTGTCTGTATATTTTTTTCCTGGAATTTAAATACTGTGGAAGTCAGGCATAGCTGCACTCCCAGCATTATGTGCTCCAGTGGCTTTTTTGTTCTAAGTTCAAGTTCTTATTCAGAAATGGCTTCATTTCTGACTGCCTCTATGGCCATATTTATTGGTATACGAGTATATAAACTGACAATGTCAAAACTAACCATTTT